GAATAAAAGCAGACAGCAGCTTCATTTTTAATTTCAAGAAACACAGTATTTTTTAACAGTTAAGCAGCATTATAGTTGACTAACAAGCCAAAATATATATTTTCAATGCCTTATTAAAAGCCCTTGCATTTAACAGTGTGAATGCTGAGATTTACGAACCTCTGTGAGCCAACACTGCTCCTTCAATCCTCAAAAGTAATTATAAAACAAGCAATTTGAGCCACAAGCAGCAGAAACTGTCGAGCTTGGGGTTTTTTTCCCCATCCTCACAACACATCCCAGCCTAACTCCAGCTTCCTCCCTGGTTCCCAGCGACATCCGAACGGGCGAGGCAGAAGGCACTGGGATACACCCGGATGGACAGGCCGGAGTGACCAACCAACACCCCCCTGGTGACTGGTAACCCAGATCACACCAAACACAAGGAGCAAGACTTGAGCTTGCCTTGCATTTTTCTGCAGTGAAGGCCCAGCTGGCAGTGCCAACACGAGCTTTTCATATGCCAGGTCTCTAAACCGAGAGCCTGGGCAGGCAAAAGCCACAGGAATTTAGAGCCCACCTGGAAATCCCCCTGGGATGGAGCCAGGAAGGCAACTTGTGGCTACACCCAGCAAACAGATTGTGCACAATGAGAAAGAAGGTGAGGGTTTTTTTTAAGGGCTGAGACATTTTTTTTTTTTATGTTTTCTTTGTTCCCTTTGCAAAATATATGTAAAAAGCTTTTTGCGCATCATGTAAAATTAATTAATTAAAAGTCTGTTACCTCACGCAGAAGCAAAGCTACTGCAGATATGTAAGTTCCCAGAAAAACAACTGGCTTCCAGCACTGGAGGTATCATCTCCAAAAACATCTTGTACAGGAAAAAATGACTAAGCAAATAACAAGTCTTAGCCACAACACAAAATAGGCTGCTGACTAAATGGATGCCACCAGAAATCACACACAATAAGGCAACACAAGACAGTAGGGGCAGCTGCCTAAACTAAACTCTGAAGTCCTTTAGACAAAATATCTGAAATACCAGTTCACCTTGGTATGAGACGACAGATTCCCTGAAGAACAGTTTTATATCAAAATCTGGGCCTGGCTCAATCTGTAAGGACTTCTTTGTACAGCAGAAGTGAATATATCCTTTTCCCCAGAGGGAAAATTCCCATTTTGCCAGAACAGGTAGGATGAGAGGCAAACATTTGTACAGTACTGCATTGCTGCTAAATTGCAACCGTGTTAATAATTTAATGCCTTAATGAATATTAGGAAACAGAATTACAACTGACCAAATGTGTACATTTCAAATGTGACATTTATTTCCTTTAAATTTGTTCTGTGCATAGATAACTGCTTCGATTTTTCCCTGAAACTAAATCTTGTGAAAACTGACATTATCCAAAAATTATGTTGTGGTATGCAACAAATCTGAATTGTCATCAGTTTCTTTTATGCTAATGATAAATCAATGTAAAAAGTTTGGTTTGGCTGTATATATTCTTGAGCATTAAAGATAACAAGGAAGATTCCAGGCAGAACACTAGCTATTGGAAACACAAATTCCTGACATACTTGCAAGATGATAATTTTCTCTTTTCTTTACTCCTCTGTCTGTTATTAATAAAAGTGTTCAGCCACCATTCTTCATTTTTATTTTACAGCGATGATTTTTTCACCAGTAACAGATTCATTAAGGGTGAGTAAAGTGTAAGCCACCAACTGGTTAGGCAGCTCTCCTTCTGAAAAGGACCTGGACAGGATAAGGGATCACAAATTTTTTATAAGTCAACAGTGCCATGCTATTGTGAAAAAGATTGTGAAAAGCAGAAGTAAATAGATGGCAAGGCATGTCATGTAATAAACTCCACATGGTATTGGCACCATCTTATCTGAGTATCATGTTCACCTTGGACCACTGCCAATCAAGAAAGGCACAAAACAGCTGGAGATAGGCCAGAGGAAATAAGGAATGATAGAAAATTTGGAAAATGTGAGCACTAAGGAACCACTGGAAAAAATAGCAGTAATTTAACCTGAGAAGGGAAAGGCCAAGGAAAGATATGATAGCAGCTTTCCATTAAGTTAAAGAAGAAAGGAATAATCTGCTTTCTGTGCCTATAGGACTAGACAAGAATTAATGCCTTTTTGGTAAGAACATTTCTACATAGAAAGCAAATGTTTCTTACACTGAGCAAATTGCAGCATTAGAATGGATTGCTGCTTTCTCAGTGAAACCCACCAAAAGTCTATGAAAAAGATACATAAACATCTGCCAGGAATGGCAAAAATAGGGTATTTTGCTTCTCAACAACAGAGTGGGCTAAAAAGAAATCCCAGTCCCCATTTCATTTCTATTCTTTATGATTTTTTGAAAGCAAGACACTTCAAAACACCAAGCTGGATATTGGTTTTCAGACTGCATAAAACACAGCTCTCAGTCTCAAACAAATTCATACTTTTCAACACTTTTTAATACAATAATGATAGCCATTACCAAAATGAAACCATTAAATAGCATTTCTTCTGTATGTGATAATATTTTTCCTGATTTCTACAAGCTTAGTAATGTTTTTCTATTCTGAAGGGTATTCACTTCCATTTCTACAATATAAAATCATAGTCATTGAAAAATAGGTCTAGAAGGGAATGTTCAGTTCTATCAACCAGATCTGTCAAGAAAATAGGAATGCAGCCAAAGAAAGGAAAGCCACTTATGGAATCACATTTAACACAACTTCTATTTTAGAATCATAGAATGGTTTGGGTTGGAAAGGACCTTAAAGATCATCTCATTCCAATCCCCCTACAATGGGCAGTGACACCTTCTGCTATCCCAGGTTGCTCAAAGCCCCATCCAGCCTGGCCTTGAACACTTCCAGGGACAGGGTACCCACAGCTTCTCTGGGCAACCCGTGCCAATGTCTGCCCCCTCACTGTAAACAATTTCTTCCTTACAGGCCATCTCAGTCTTCCCTCTCTCAGTTTAAAAGCACTGCTCCTCATCCTGTCCCCACAGGCCCTGGTAAAGCATCTTTATCTTTCTTACAGTCCCCCATCCCATGCTGAGAGGCCACAACAAGGTCTCCCCAGAGCCTTCTCCTCTCCAGGCTGAACAGCCCCAGCTCTCCCTGCCTGTCTCCACAGCAGAGGTGCTCCAGCCCTCAGAGCATCCTTGTGGCCTCCTCTGGACTCCTGAGGTCCATGTATTTCTTGCAGTGGGGACCCCAGAGCTGGGTGCAATGCTCCAGGTGGGACCAGTTTTATAACCTGTCCTTTGAAAAAGGACCACCATTTTAAGGTGGTACTCAAAGAGCATCAAGGCAGTCCTTACAAATGCTGCATACCGTTGTTTGGATAACAGGAGGGGACAGATTTTTACATTAATAACAATTTCATAAATTATCCAATAATCAGTTAATTTGCTTTGACCAGTAAAAGTACTCTAAGCAATTACCTGGCTGACATATAACAAAAGATAAAGTGAATTTACATATGAAGTGTACACAATATTACTCTCATTCTTGCTAATACATCATCATCACAAGAAAGTAAATGAAGGTATTCATTTCATTCATATTTGTATTTTGGAAGTGTGTGAATATGCAAAGCAACATCAGAGCCTCATCATGCTACAATGTAAATAAACAGAGTATTTCAAAAGCACCTGCCTCTATCACATGCTATTATTGTCAGAGTATACAAAATATGAATGTTACCTTTGAACTGATTAAATGTTTTCATGGAAAAATGTAATTAATTCCATTGTTCAAAAACTGGAATTAAACCATCATGCAAGGATTCACATTACTTCACAAATAATTTGATGGTTGCTACTGATCCTTTTCATTGCAGAGCAGCTTAGCACAGTAAATTTCTCAGCTTGGCCAACTGATTCATTCCATAAGCCATTTCCTGATACAAAATGCAAAATACCATACAGCTATCATGAAATAGCACCCAAAGTATTTTTAAAAACACATATTATTGTCTGAACCTCCAGAGACACACCTTAAAAAGAAGATACTCATTATTATTCACTGCATCATTTGCACTTTTTTTACATAATATAATCACAGGATTTAAATAACTCAATTTAATATTTATCCAGGAACTGGCAGCCAGTGTTCTACCCTGAGGGACGTAACTCTTCATAAAAAGCTCATTTTACAAGACACTGTAGCAGTTTTGGCATTACCAACACCTCTCACATAAACCATGCTGAAAACTATAGTTTATCCTGCCAAATGCCTTCTGTACATATGGTGTTTAACAGTGTTCTCTAGGTCTGAAAGCCACTAATAATAGATCTAAGCTAAAAATCTGGAAGCACACATGTATGTAACATAAAAATGTATACAATGCTACATATTCACATATATATTTACCTACATACCCCACATGCATATAAACATACCTGATTACAACTATTCTTTAAATTATTACGCTAACTATAACTCTCATAAAAAATAATTTCTCTTTCGGTTTCCAGTAGCTTCCTAAATTTTAATTCTTCTTCTATTGACATCAGAGGTAGAACTTCCATTAACCTCAGCAGTACAGAATCAGGCCACAAGAAACACAAAGAAATACATTTAAAGACAGTACATACACATTTGTAAAATCTTCTCACTATGCAAGGATGGTCTTGGCGCTTTATGACGTCGATTGCCCCACTAAACTTCTAAATTAAATTTTAAAATAGCATATTTTAAATACATCTTAGATTAGTGGTCTGTAAATACTGGATATAACAACAGAATGTATCTAGATGTGGTTAAAGATGGACCTGCTGAAACGTTCATTGTAGGTTAGAGCAAACTTCACTACCATTTGACATTTGAACAGTCTGCTTTTATGTCATTGACTGAAGTGAATCAGATAACTTTGTTAAGTAGTATTTAATGTAACTCTTCCTCAGAATTAAGACACTTTATACAAAGACGAGTGATAGAGTTAAAAGTGTTAATACATTGACAACTAGGTAACACAAAATAATGCTGAGAATACTTACCACTTTCAAAACAGGCATCAAATATAAGATGTCCTTTTTTAGGCTGTCCAGAATAAGCAGCTGGGAGAACAATGTACTTGCTCACGTTCCCTGCTATGATATCGTCACTTCCCGTGGCACTGCCTGTCACAGTAAAAGTGGAAAAAAAAAAGGCATGAGCATAAACCAAAAAATACATATATAAAAACCAGTAGAAGGCTAATACCCCATACATTTCTACAGAGCATAAAATTTGCACCATTTAACACATGCACCAGTAAATGAACTCTTTTCTTTTCAAAGCCTATTTAAGAATTTGGATATAATAATGGCATCATATGTTCAAGTCCCCCTAAGTAACTAACCACACAGCCTGGCTTCTTGCCCAGGTATGACCTGTGGCTGAACACTCTCTGATATTCAGCTGGAGCCACTTCTTTTGGTGGGAGCTCTCTAGTACCTAAATCCTGCACGGATTCCCTGGAATTGAACTCCTCACCAGCTTCTTATTTTATTACAATCCTCAGAAGCATCTTCCCAGCTATCAGCATTAATGGGATCTTTTTCCTCCATCCTGCTGCCTATTTTTATGCATCTTAAATGAACTTAGAACCTTTGAGACTGGTTCAATCCAACTCATACTTGAAATTTTAGAATTATTAGAAGGAAGAGACATTCACCCACAGAGGCATGTGAATATCTGAGCCTCGCTTGCTTAGGACACAAAACTCACAGAAAGAACTTAAATAAAGAAATTTTTTTAAATGTGAAGTTTATTTTATGATAAAATATATAAGGACACAAATGTTCTATACAATGGTATGATTTTTGTCAAAATATATCAGTAGCATATACATTGAAAGCTTTGTCCTTTACAGGAAAATTATACTAACAAATTGCAGTCTGCAAAAAAATTCATTTCCAAAATGGGAAGGATGAACACTAATTGTTTTTTCATTTGAGAAATGTACAAGAAAGTTAATAACTGTATGTTATATTATGCATTTATAGTGAAAGAAATACATGCTAATATAATTACCTGTTCATTCCTCTGATATTGGTTCAGCATTTTCTTCACCATTTACTGTTTGGACAAATATTTTACAACAGAAAAACTATTTTCAGTGTTACAGAAAACTAGAAGAAATGCATATGTCTTCAAGTGCAGAAGGCATGTGATGGGATAATGGGATGATAATATCTTATTTCACTCTGATAAATAGGGCTACTAAGGCTTCTAGAAATAGACTTTTGGTCTGTAGTGATTTTTTTGACATTTAAATGGGTTATGGGGGATGATAAATGTGACATAAAGCTCAATTTGTTTTATTTTTATATTGAAAACTATTTCACACAAATGTTACAAGCAATTCATATTGGCCCTGAATGATGAAAACAGCTTATTAATTAAAACTGACCTTTCCATATATAAAAGTATTCCACCTCTTGAGGCAAAACACCTTAGCTGAAGTAACAAATTATATCAATGTATTAGTGACACCACAGTTAAAGGGTCTGTCAGGCTTTCTATTATATATATTCACAGGTATATAAATCCCAGATTAAAAAATATGTATATCCAGGTCAACATTCAGCATACAAATCCCCAGTCTTCCCAGGGAAGAAATTTGAAACTCATTCTCTTTGAGAATTAGTACAACAGAACAAAGAGAATTTAGACCATTTCTTACTTTATCATAATACAAAAATGTAGACATTAAATAATGCATGCTATTATTTTTTAAGCAAAATTGTTATTTGCAACCTCTAGGTTATTTGTTTTAGACTGAATAATTACCCACAGACAGCAATCTGCGGCATGTAAATTGGTTTCTTTAAATGTATAATTGCTACTTATGGTATTTTTAGCTGGATGTTTTTTAGCAGAATCCTGATACAAATTGCTTAAAGCCTGATAACACCAGAGGCAAACTGAGACCTGGGTGGGGCATCTGTGTATCTGCATGGCCATGATCCTGTCACTTGATAAAATTCATCCCTCTGCATCATGAGACCTGTAGTTCAGAGGAGCAGCCAGAGGAAACCCATTTCCTCAGTTTCACTCGAGTGCCACTTTGATTAAGAGCCCCCATATACCCATCGCAGTTAAGATCAGTCAGGTTGTTTGCAATCCAACACATAGAATCAACAAAGAAAAATTAATGGAAAACCTGCTGATTTCCACCAAGAGTGCCTGAGCTGCCAGGGACCAAAGTGAAAGAATGGGAGGCAAGGAGTCATCTGAGCAGAGCAGTTAGAAGACTGAACTCCTCCTGGTAAATATTCCCTTTTACATCTCAGCTAAAAGTAATAGGCTGCTTATAAATTGAGAAAGACAGCTGGGAAACACCACTTAAAGATGAAGAAACTAGAAAAGATTACATTCATAACACTGCCACCGTAAGACAGTGTAGGAAAAGCAGGCAGAAGGCGGAAGAGGGAGCTACATCTCCCTGGCAAATTAGAAAATCTGCCAATGGAGCCTTCACATGATGCAGAAGGAAGCTGTCAAGTAACTGTGTCCCAGCAAAAAGTTTCCATCTGCTCCTCCTGACCTAACGTAGCCCTCAGGAATGAGAATAAAATCATCAAATAGCCTGTAATTCATAGTCCTTTAACAATATTAATCTCTCCTCGCATGTTCTTTATTACGCAGCACTTTAAATATTCAGAACGTACTACTGTTATATTTCCAGTTATATTATCTTTAATCTCTAAACGTGCAAAGCTGCAGCCTTTGAACCTCACATTATTATACAGCACAACAGCACTCTGTCCCTTCTGGCATGTTCTCCTTGGGTGATAAAGAAAAGGCTGAAAAAGAGCCTGCACTGCTGCGTGGCTCCATTGTGAAACATGGCTTCGCGCTGTTACGAAAGGGAGGGGGGTAACCCAGGTTCTTATCAATAATTCCCTTGGGGTGGATTAGAGTGAAACACCAATCGGTGTCTGAAAACATATATTGGTAAGGTTTATTTTAACAATTCTGTATCAACAGGTATGATAGCAGTTTGGGTGCTGTCATATAACAATGTGACATAACCTTTGGCGGGGGAGAAAATGCATAGGGGAGAGAAAGACAGGGTAAGAGTGAGGGAGAGTAAGGAAAAAGAAAAGATGAGAGTGGAAAAAACGTGTATAGTCACCGCCCACGGGTCCAGCGAGGACACTTGGTAGTTGCCGCTTCCATGTCTGTCAGCTGAAGTGGTGGCCTTGACCTGCCGGGGGTGAAGGAGGGAAGCCCCCACACGCCAAGAAGTTATGAGTTATTATACTCATGGTTATTGTCACGGGCCGGGCCTCGAGCCTCCAAACTCTCCCTGGGCCTGCGCAGTTTCTGTGTCTGGCCTGGTTCCCGCCTTCCAAGATTGGCAGGGGGGGATGGGCTTTGATGGGCCATCAGAGGGATAAACTCGGCTCTTCCTGCCTTTTCAGGGCTTGACACCTTCAGCACTGGAGGGAGGGATGGGCCCAACTGCCCATCAGAGGTCAAAAGCCCGCAAAAGTCTCCTCGTATGCATCAATCATTACCCGTTTCAGTCTCTGACACAGCTTGTCTGTTCGGCAGACGTGGGAGTGTTGCTGGGGATACATCACCATCCTCGGGTGGAGAGAATGCCAGCCTGGCCTTCAGCCCTCCGGCCGACACAGAGGTACTGCCCTCACGAGTGGGGAGCCCTAAGCAGATTTTTCCTGACTGAAGGCAAAGATGTATGACAGAACCTGGTGGGGAAGGGAAAGAGCTCCTCAATCCGAGACACATTGAAAGAAGAGAATTAACTGAAGTACATCCTGCACATTCCACTTAAGGAGAGCAGATTCTCCTTTGAAAGAAAAGGTTAGATAAGACAAGCAAAGGCAAAACTTAGCAAAGAAATTGTCTCAGATCGTAGGTCTTATTTTGTCAATTATTTTTCTTACAGGCTGTAAGAAACATGGCTATTTTAGTATAATTCTTCATAGCTTAAACTCCAGGAGGCTCCAGCAAATCCCCAGGATTTACTTTTACTGCAGTATTAAACTTTGCTGGTAATTTTCTATCAGGTATAAAATCTGTAGGTGCCTGAAATCTCTGTAAGTATATAAGGTTTTAAAATATAACACGGACAGGGTCTTCTGGTATCTGCATTCATCACTGTTGTCACTGTGGATGTATTTCACATCAAACTAGTGAAAATGAATAGAATCACTTACAGGATTCACAGGAGGAAGAGTTTGGAAGCTTACAGAGCTTCTTGCCACTCTTAAATTCAAAGGGTAAAGCCAGCATTTTTTTTCATTTAAGCAAAGGTGAAATCAGTACTCGCTGCAATAAACATCATGCAAATTTAGGTTCCTTTTCTTTAAGAACTGTAGTTTACAAGGGAAGGTATATATTTAGTAAGTAATAGTTACTCTGAATTGGGTAAACAACGAGCTCAGCTTCCAGATGTGCCAAAGCTCAGAATCCACAGAGTTAGCAGCCAGCAGCTACCCTCATGCTACATTAGGTAGGAGAGCACAGCTACATTAAAACAGACATAGAAAAATAGAGTGAATTTGCCTGGAAAACCTGCATCATTCTTCTAATTAGACTTACTGCCTAATGAAGAGAGATAATTAGAAAGGTGAGGTAACATGAAAAGATGTGGTAACTGCCAGTGAGCTTTATAGAAGTCTTTCTTTAAATATTACAAACGTCATCAAAACACCTCACATTCTGTCACGAGATCCTTATTTTAGAACAAAATTAGGATACATTTTGCTATTGAAAACATCTACAGTGTAAAGATCTAATACCTAGATTCCCATCATGCAGGGACCAAGAAAAGTTGCCAGGTATCCTAATGAAGAGCTCCATCAGCCTTGAGCAGAATTTTTAATGTAAACCCATACAAAGAAGTGAATCTGAACTTTCAGTACAGTTTGCAACAAACAAAAATTCATTCAGATGACCAAGAGCAACCCCTGTTAGCTCCTAAAAATAACAAGTCCCTAGATGAACACTGCTCAACTCACACTCTGGCTAAGTAGCACTTATGAGGTTATGCCAGAAATAATGTCTGCTCCACACACCTGAAAACTGGAAACAGTGTAATTTTATCAAAATTCTTTTAAATGATAGCATTTGTATAAATATACAGTCTTAATAGCTCATTATGGTC